TGCCGCCCCTCGGAACCGCGTGCTCACGGCACGGTGGGCAGCAGCAGTTCTCTGCCGGCAGCGTGAAGCTACAGCCTTTTCATTTTGTCATCACAGGCCTCGTGAGAGAACTTTTTTGGTTAGTTTTGCAGTAAGCCAGTGGTAAAAATAAGTTGTGCTCTTTGACTCCCCGAGTCAGGATTCCCTGCCATACCAGTGAGTTAATACAGCACGCACTGCAGCAAACCCGCGTGCTCCGGAGCTGGCTGGGCACCAGTGGGATAAAATTCCAGTCCCTGGAGAACTTAGCGTTTGTGTTTGATTCTCATTCCCGAGAGCATATGTCTGAGGTTTCAAACCTACTCCAGGAGTGCCTGTGCAAGTTCCACATCTGCAATTAAGTAGCATGTCATGCACTGGGGTTTTTTTTTGTTTGTTTGTGGGTTTTTGTTTTTTTTTTCCTTCTCCCTCTTTGGTGCTGCCTGGCTTGGGTTCACCTGCACTGGTGCAAAAGCATTTTGGATTAGCTCAATTTTTACCAAAAATGCCGGCACCAGAGCTTAACACTCGCAGCCAGCCCCACTCCCTTTCCCCCAGCCTGCGTATCACCTGCAGCATAGCGAGGGACGAGTGCTGGAGGAGGCCATCCAGGTCATGTACATGATTAACTCATGTTTTGCTTTTGATATAATGAGAAAGGAGGATGGGGGTGTGATTAGCTGTGGGTAGTACCGTTCCCAGAGGTTTAAAACAAAGCTGCAGTGAAGAGCTCCTTTTTGTAACTGCTCAAGGTAAAAATCTGTAGAGTAAAATAGTTGGTTCTCTTGACACAACTTTCAGCTGTCCTTAAAAATACCAAATGTGCAGGAATTATCCCAATAAACTTAGGGGAATGACTTGCCAGAATAAGGACACAGAAGGAGTTACTTGCAAATGAGAGCTAGACGTTTCCTGCACCCCACCCTTGCTTTCCTTGTTGTTCTCCAAAGCTGAACAGCAGCCTCCATAGCAACAATCTGACCTGCCTGCCTGCAGAAGTCCATGTTAGTAAGACTTCATTCGCTAGCCAAAAATAAAAAAACAACCCAAAACTGTAGCGGGGCCGTATTCAATTTTTACATTCAGTGAATCCTGCTCATTTGAACCCTCCTTCCCACCTTCACCCCATATGCATGGCTGGTAGCACCTGTGTGTGTTTGTCACGATTTTTGAATGAGTTTCCCCTTCATTCTTAAAGTTGTTTTTTCTGAGTGCGCTCTCATGAAGTCTCTTGCTGGCATTGCACCTTCACTCTACTGCAAGACGTTGCAATTAACCCTTTCTCAACCCCAGGAACTGGATTTTCCCCATCCTTACTGGAGGACTTTGATTAGCACAAACCACGAGTTTGTTCCAGCTTGTTGGGCAACGAGAGGTTTAATTGCTCTGACTTGCTTCTGGTCAGCAAAGAAAAGAAACATGCCCAGACAACCTGTTTCTCCTTGCTTGTATTTTTTTTTGTTTTAGGTCTTCCGGCCCCGCACTCCACCAGAAGCGATTGCGCTATGTAGCCGTCTGTTGGAGTACACCCCCACTGCCCGCCTGACTCCCCTGGAGGCCTGTGCCCACTCTTTCTTCGATGAACTACGGGACCCAAATGTCAAGTTACCAAATGGGCGAGAGAAACCTGCACTCTTCAATTTCACCACTCAAGGTAGCCTGTGAGCGTTGAAGGATCCTGTTCATCTGTAGAGGATGAAGCACCGGAATAAATGTTTGCTGTTACGCAGGTGTCACTCCCTCAAAAGTAAAAAGTCTCCTAGCAGGACTAAGGTTATGAAGTGATTGCACAACCAGCTTATTTCAAAGAGAGAGGAAAAGGACTTGGAGAAATGGGTCGTGGGATTTTCAAATGCCTGGTGCCTCCGATTCAAATTGAGCACAGGGGACCGATGCAATACTGTCGGATTGCATCAAGAAGGCTGACGTCTGCAGCCTAGCTGATGGTTTTGTGTGAAATATCACAGTCAGTGGACTGTGGGAGTTCAGATTATCGTTTTGGAGATGATCCTACTCTTTCAGACCTGAAATGCCATAGCAAGGGGTAATGCATACGAGGTTTGGCAGGGAGGTTTTTAGTGTTGCTGCCTGTTTTGGTTCTGGATGCGAGATAAATGTAGAGCCTTTAGTGTCCAGATTTTATATGCTGTACAGTGTATCTGGCATAACGTTGACTCAGTCTTTTAGAAACTGTAAAAATGACGGACAACTAACTTTTTTAGTTGAAGCCAGACTGGTATCAAATTTTAAAACCATTCATGTCTTTTTTTCTACAGAAGTCAGAAACGTAAAACTGATGTCCCCCCTAGAACAGTTTTTGCCTGCCAAGACAGAGAATGTGAGAAGCGTGGCGTACAAATATGCTAGTAATTAATTTCGCAGCACTTTTTTTTTTTTTTAATGATTAGCTGCCAATTCTCACCCTTTGAGCAAGAATAGATCTGTGTGAGTTTTTTGTTGAAAGTCTAAAACACCTTTTGGCTTAGTTAGCATCAATGTAATTTTTCAGACTCTTTAGTGCATGCAGTACCTGTCTGCCAAAATGTGAAACAAGAGTCCTCTCCTTCAACATGTGGAGCCGTTTTATCTAAAAAAAAAAAAAAGAGCTGAGGGAGAGAGGGGCAAAAAAAAAAAAAAACCTTTGTGTCTGTACAAAGTAGTTATTTTAAGCTCCTTGGAAATAAACTTTTAACTTGCTTTGAGTGGCTCCCTGGCAGAAGGTAGATATACTGAATATACCAAAACATTTCTGAAGCACGAATACCTTAAAATGTTCAAGAAAATAACTTGTGTTTCCAGGTCACTATCGTCTGTGCTGATTCCTGCGTCTGTTGTTACAAATGTAGTAGTTATGTTACAGGTCCTTCGTTGTTGCCATAGTCATGAATTGCCTTTTCTTCCCACTCTAAGGCCATCTTCAGTAGCTAAGCTATTTTTGATCCCAGTATCTTAAAACAGCTTCACTCCTGTTCTTGTTGAAAGTATTTCTTACTAATTGTTTCTCAATGATGTTACGATTGGGCCTATCTACTACATGAAAACAGGATTTTAAAAAGGCTTGGAAAGCTCTGTAGTGAGTCTTTTTAAAAATCTTTAGAGGAAAAATAAATGTATGTATTGGGAATGTGTCCCTGGTTTCCCCCCGAGGCAGTGTGGGAGCTGCTGGGTAAGCTACCCTAATGCTCAAGCAAATTTAAAGTTCCTCTTTTACCGTCCTGAGGAGCTGATGTGCTCCTCCCCTTGTACAGTGACTCGTGGGAATGGCACGAGAAATCAGTTCCAGTAGAGCGATTTCATTAAGATTCAAAAAAGCAGGTTTCTGTCATAGGCAGGTGCCAGTTTTGCCATCTAAAAAGGGAAGGCAGAACAGAAGCTAGTCATTAATGAATTTCCAAATGAGCCCTGTTGCAGGTGAGCAGCCAAACTCAAAAAAATAACCAGAGTTTTTTTAAAATAAATACATCCGTTGCTTAGCACGGTAATTTTAAGACCTTTGCAATTAATAAATGTGCAGCAGTGAGTCTTGTCTAGCAGCAGTCCTGATTACAACCTCAAGATACACAAGAAGCTTTTTCTTCTCCTGTGACTGCAGTGCCAGGAGAAGAAAGTCTTTAGCCAGACTGTGCGAGGTCCCATCAAATTGGCTAGTCCGGAGCAGAAATCCTAACTGGGAAATAGATCAGGTCATTGGAAATCAGATGATGACTCATGTTTAGTCATCTGTGGTAATTTAAAAAGTGATGAAAGGCATCCTTTTGTTTTCAACAGGCAATATTAAGTTTTAGAAGTGTTTTATTTGGCTATATCCAGTTGCCTGAAACCCATGAAGTAGGAGGTAGCTGCAGAAGGCTTGAAGGCAAAACTGTTACAAATAACAACATAAATCTAACCATTAATTCATTGGATTGATTTTTGAGAAAGAATCTAAGCGTCATACCAGATCTGCTGATCTGGGCACTTAATGCTGCTCAAACAGAGTCAAGAAGAAAAGCAGTGAGAGTGTACGGAAGATAAAGGTCATGGTCTTTGGCTGCCAGCAGTAGTTGTGGGGCATATAGGTGCTTGTTTTATCGTAGAGGTGATATCTGGTCATTCTTAATGTCTTGCCTGTAAGTTTCTCGTAGTATTTAAACAAATGTTATACACTGATTGGGTGTTTGAAAAAATTATTTTGGCCAAGGAGGTATCTCCACTAGCCACAGAGCTGCAGTTCAGTGCCTGTTAGACCTCTAAGACAGAAAGCACAGGAAGCATTTTTTCTCTTAGAAGCTGGATTTTCAAACAATCTGCGAAATGCCTGCCATTTCCTAAACTTCTTGTAACACATCGATGACTGTGCTGGGTCACAAATATTACTGTCACTCCATTTTGGCCATTAAAGACTGGAAATTCTTCTGTGATTCAGCACTTAGGAATGGTTATCATGCTTCTCAGTGACAAATTACTTTTTTGCTAAACTTTGGGGGTTTTCTGTTTGTTTTTTTGGGTTTTTTTTATTTGTTTGGGGTTTTTTCTTTGTTTGTTGTGTTTTCTTTTTTTTAATGAGCCTGGCTCATGACCTTTAAAAAAAAGATTTTATATACATGTGTGTAATATATATATATATATATACA